CAACTGCGTCATATTTACCACTTGAAAGTAGCTCACTTTAAACAAGAAGCTGAAGCAGCCATCATGAGCGCTAAGCTTGTGACAGATAAACTTGCCGCAGAAGCAACCGCAAGGACGGAAGCACAGGTTTGTGAAATATCACAGTTTCTTATACATATTTTCTTTGATATATTAGTGTCCTTCCTATTTCTTTTTTTGTTTTGGGCTTCCTTTGGTAACCTCTTTGAAACGGAAGCTAGCAACACAGACACTTCCATGGGGTAACAGGCACAGTAACGCTTTCTAGAAACAATTGTTGCCTGCCATTATGGAGTGTATGGAAACATTGCGTTTTTTGTTTGGTCCATTTGTCTCCATCTTGGATTTTTCAACTTCAAGTGCGCATGCGCACCCCCTTAAAGGGACACTGTCAATGGCACGCATGTGCGAGTAAACTTGAAAACACTAGGCTAGTGTTTTCAAGTTTATGACTCCAAGTTGGCGCGACATAAATCAGCTCGTAAACATAAACAGATCTAGAATATTCCAAAGTGTGTCAAAAGCACCACAAAATGATTTACCTCGAAGGTAATACTTTCAAAGTCCGTTAGAGGTGAGACTGTTACTGCGCATGTCATCCATTGACAGTGTCCCTTTAACTCGTGTTTTGCTTTCTTGTTTGGCCGCTTATGAACCAGAAATTGAATATAAAGCAAAAGTTATTAGTACGGCCATGAATAACCAACGAAGAGAAACAACGAAACACACTTTAAAATATGCAACCATAGCTAGTCTCCCTCTACTAACTATGATGCAACGAAGATAAATCAAACAAACTTAGCTAGTTACTATATTAAACTATCAAGTTGTTATGTCAACAGAGACAACTGGAAGCTGTTTTGAAACAAAACAAGGAACTCATTTCTACTGTGCAACAACTCGTCGCACAAGTTCACGCTCTCCATTCACAACGACACACTCTTTCTACGTCACATGGTTTACGACTCAGTTCCAGTACCTCATCGTCCATGTCATCGACTCCTACTTTGACACCGAAGCACTTGCCTTCAGGTAAGACATGCCGACGAAACGAGTTCTTTTACTTACAATAATCTCCTTCACGGTTACGTGCGCCATATTGAAAGGTAGCCGTGCCTTTACCTCGAAGAGAGACAACCGTTAAAGGGCTACTTGGACGAAAATTTCGAATCTTAGAAAAAACTTGGAAATCAAATAGACCTATCCATATGGGTCTAATAATCATGAAGCAGCAGATTTCAACAAGATATTGATACAAATCCTTGATAATTTGGGCAAAAAATGTTGGAGTAGATKACGTCATYTACTCAATCCTTTTGTTCTTCCATCTTTTGAATCAAAATTTCTCTGATGTGGGATAATTCCAAAACAAATGTTTTCCCGCAATTGTTTTTAATTGATATTAATGAGTCATATATTTGTATTGCTTGAAGTTTTGAAATAAGGCCATTTTTATGCAAGTAGCACTTTAAGCGTGCAATGATAGATACCTGTGAATGATTGTCTGTAGGTGTGAAAGAAGGTTTCTATCATTGTACGCTCAACGGTCGTCCCGCCTCGATGTAAAGGCGTCGGCTACCTTTCAAGATGGCGCAGGGAACCGTGAAGAAGACTTTTCGTTAAAAATCGTTAAATTATTTGCAATTGAAACATTTTTTTTATTTAAACTGGCGTAAAATGATGCAAATCTCCCATCATGCTTAGGTGAACAAAATGGCGTCGCTGTTTATTGTTTTTAAAATACGTTTAAGTATCGGTTCGCGTGTCTAAGATACTGATAATGAAAGTGTCGTCGTGTGTGGTCACTTGGAAAAATAAAATATAATACAATAATCTTTATAGTGTCGAGGGTAACACATGAGGGTAATAAAAAATGATAACTTAGTGACCCTCTCTCTGAATCTAAATGCAATGATTATGGAAATACGATTGGAACGAATTTCCCATAAAATCCCGACCTTCTCGAAAACTGTGATGCAAACTAAACAAAGTGCCTGTGTAAGTACAAGTCCTCAAATTAAGGACCCAATCATCATTTCTTTTTTAGGATCATCAAGAAAGAATCCCGGTGAATCTCCAGTGTTGCCTTTCATTCCTCCACCTCCCATCACACCAAGTCCAAACCATTCCCGCCAGAATAGCATCGACAGTTGGTCTTCGTCTCTTTCTGGTGCCAAACTAGGAACAACTTTAGACACTTCTGAGATTGAACTCTCTGAATCAAAGCGTAACCCCCAACCTCAAGAATTCCTACGTTTTGTATTTGACAATTCCAATTCTTCAGACGTTTTTATGGGGACTGAAGAAAGTAGCAGTTCAACAGTTACCGCTGACACGGCAACTGAATCTGCGGGCTCAACAACGACTAATGAAAATGAAAATAGCGGCTCAGCTAGACTTGAGCCAAATAGTATTTGATAT